ATATATATATATATATATATATATATATATATATATGCATGCATACATGTATGTGTGTATACCTAAGTCTGTATGTATATATACGTATACATGCGTATGTGTTCATTTATTTATGTATGTATCTATCCATATTCATATTCATAACGGCAAAAAGATTCAGGTTTAGTCTTGTAATTATTCCATCCGCCATCGGTGACATCTGACATCCGCCCGGCAAGTGACGAGGCCCACCGATTTGGCGCTTTTCCAGCTGTTTTTCGCGGGCTGAGAAGGTGACCAAAGGATTTTCCCGCCAAAAATTTGATCTGACCCGCAATTGGGTGGGCATTGTGGACTTCTACATTTATTTTCTTTATATTTTCTTTCCATTTTTTTCTTCTCCATGTATGATTAAAACAGATATGCGAAGCGAAGAAAAGTCTAAATTCTGTTTTAGAGACAGGATATATAGATATGTCGATAAAGTTTAATAGTAACTACATTTATTCGTATGAGCCCCCCCCCCCCTTGTTCGGTTTGGCAGTGGGAGGGGGGGTGGGGTGGAGGTAGAGGCATGCCCTATGTAAAGGATAACTTTTACCTTCTCATTTTCATCCCTTTTTCTGTCCACTTATTATAATCTTTGACTCAATTTTACACCTCGCGCCACAATATTTTATCATAATGCTATATGACCTATGATGCCCGAGAGACATTCATTTGTTTCGACTATTAACCATTCTGGAAATCCACAAACATCGCCTTATTGAACGAAAAAAGATTTCTTCTTAAAGCCCAAGTCCCACCCTATCGCTATATTTTGAATACGCCGCTAATGACCTTAAATGCTAAGGCGGCAGAAAATTCATAAAAAATAGATGATAAAATAAATCAAATTTACTCATTCATTCATGAAATGGACCTTTTGGCATGGAATCAAGTTGCTTACAATTTCTGATCTGCGTATTACACGACCAGCGACTCGCTCACTGTCACTCAAAACCATAGACCTTTTCCGCCATTAACCTGAATTTCCAAAACCGACGCATGCGCAAGGAGAGAGTGACCTTTGACCGGAGTGACTGACAGGCCATCTGCCAAAACGACCGTACCACTTTCCCTTCCTCCACAAAACCCTTTTCGCACTATTTGCTATTCTCCAATGTGCAAATAATAATGAAGGAAAATGATCACAGTAATAATATATATGTATATAAAACAAACAGCTTAAAGAAAAATAACAGAGAATTGCGTGAATTAACCAATAGTTGGTTCATATTAATGTAGAAGATTCTGTTGATATGAACTGACTGATAACATCCCTTTGAGAATATAACGAAACTTTACAACATGTGCATAATATAAAATGAAACTATACGCAATAACATCCACTCTAACCAATGAAACAAACAAACGAAAAAAACAATGGATAACTAAAACTAAAATATCCAGACAACCAAGTTTATTACCACCATCATATCATCATGACACCAAGACCAGAAAATAACCAAGACAAACGTAAGAATCTGTAGAAATATTAATCTGAGACGCGGGAAAAGTTGGAAAAGGGAAAAATGCCAACCCCTTTTTCCTGAATTCCGCCGCGACAAAGTGACCGTTAACCTCTCAATTTTGAAAGTGCGGGCTGGTTGGGTTAACCACCAGGAAAAAAAGAGCCAATCAGAAAGCGGTATAGAATTCGCCATTTTTTTTTCAGCGGTTTTAGCTTTCTTGGCCGGGCCGTTACCGCGAATTGATACGAAAACAGAGTTAGCGCCATTTTTTGGTGTTGATTGGAGTTTGTAATTAATTATTACCTGTATCTCATAATGTAGGAATCTATACAAAGTTGTAATATAAGAAATAAATTTGGAAGATGGAATTGAGTTGGAGATGTTATAATTAAGATATGTTACAGACATCTTATTTAAAAGGAAGAAAAGTTTTAATTGGAACACAGGCATAACAAAATATAAGAACAACCTAGCACAGATATGTTGAAATATTGCTTTTGTTGCAAGAGACCCTCGTATTTCAATGGAAAATTTCGACACCGTTTTCAGGTCTAGCTTTGAAATCCACCTTTCTCTTGAAACAAAACCGTTTAAAGGCAAATCCCGAGAGAAACCTTACACCACGCATAATATTCAGAGAATATCAGAGAAAATCCAAGTTGAAAAGAGAAATGAAAGAAAAAGTTAAATGGGCTAGTTTTGCAATCACAAGGTTCTGCATGAGCGCTGGCATGCTGGCGTTAGCATGCTGGGGTCAAAGTCAGGGAAAGGAAAGGAACTGGCTATCCTACCGCTTCATCCCGCGACTTAGCATGTTTCTCTACTAACTGACTGTCAACCATTCTGGGGATTCTCAAATATCCCAATTTGAACTAAATAACTTCCTTACCTGGGGGACTTCGCACCCAAGCCTATGGCCATATTTTGAATACGCCGCTAATAACCTTAGATGTTGTCGCAACATATATTTTTTTTCAATAAGTAGTAGTTAATGCACAGACGCAATTTATTCAGCTTTATTATTTTAAGATTACACATTATATAGCCCATTCAGCTTGAACTGTGTTTATATTACATCGGAACAAGCACACTATTCTCTCCCGAAGAATAATTATAAAAAAAACTCCTTAGCGGGTGCTTAAAAACAACACAATAACATCCACTTGTCATATCATACTGACCGCTGAACTTAAAATAATTGAGCAAGATTCATTATCACATGTTAATGCAAAATGCAGTATATTAGGAACTATATAATGTTGCCGTGTGTGAAAAAAATAAATCTGGTTCCGGTACTGCTTGCCTGTGACCTGTCATTTCCGGTCAAGCGAGTACTCCTAAAAAAAGGGGGTGATGGTGATGAATAAAAAGGAAGAAGCAGAGGAAGAAGACGAAGAAAAAGAAGAGAAAGGGGAAAATGAAAAAAAAAGAGGTAGAGGAACAACAACAATAATAATAGTAGTAGAAGTATTAGTAGTAGTAATAGTAGTAAGTAGTAGTAGTAATAGGAGCAGAAATAGAAGAAGCTGAAGCCTAACTAAAAACAAATCACTCAAAATTCTGAAAACATGCAAGTTCTAACAAATACATCAGCTGCAGATGATCCTTATTTTAACTGCTTTGCACCGTAAAATCACCGATTAAAGATTAATACGCGGAACGGTAGGTTAGTTCTTACCAAGAGGAATCGCTTCGTGTTATGTGGTCTGAAGAAAAGAAGCAGGTTTTAAGTCTTTCTCAGCCATTATTTCCCCCCAAATGAAAATAAAAAAAGCTGTTGGAATGGTTTGGAGATGTCTGTGGCGATGGCAAAATGGCTGGAGTTTGCTTATATTTGTTGCTGAAGAACTGCACGATGTATACTGATTGTTATGTTAATCATATGGCACAGGTTTATGGGCTCCGTTACTTGAGTTTCGTTTTGCAGGATAAACCACTACAAAATGGCAAGAAAGTGACCAAATGATGTGCAGTGGACGGGTAGTGGTCCTGACCCTTATGCCATTCATCACATACGAAGCCAAATATACTGTATATATATATATATATATATATATATATATATATATATATATATATATATATATATATATATATATAAATGCACACACACACACACACACACACACACACACACACATATATATACATTGTTAGCATATCTAGGGTCTGTTATGCGCCACTAAGAGGTTTTTATTAACCTTTTAGAGCATAATGTTCCTATATGAGAACGTCCTACATCCTTCAAATGATCAAACTGACTGGTTTTTTATGTTGGTTTTATAGTAAAGTCTTCAAAAAAGGTGTCATATGCGAAAACTGGGGTACAGTTGCAATACTTACCAATGAAAACACTTATTGTATATATATTATATTATATATTACACACACATACGTGTATATACATACATCTATATATATATACATAACTATATACATACATATATATATATATATATATATATATATATATATATATATATATATATATATATACATATATATTTATGTAGATGTATATATACATATCCATCTGTCTATATCCATATCTATATCTGTCTGTCTCTCTCTCTCTCTCTCTCTCTCTCTCTCTCTCTCTCTCTCTCTCTCTATATATATATATATATATATATATATATATATATATATATATATTATGTATGTATATATATATTATATAGATATATATAAAATGCACATACATATATATATACACATATACATGTGATTATGGGACTGGAAACTATCATAATTAATGGGTCTTTTAAATCTACCTTCACCTTCAGTTTAGAGTATAATGTTTTTTTCTGTGAATACACATACTTTACTCCAGCAAACACATATACCATCTCAGGTGAAGTGCAGGCTATTTCTCTCTCTTACATTTGGATTACACAGAATTAATTCAGGAAATGAGAAAAAAAAGGTGATCTCCATTATACTTTCCACTTACATGTACCTTGTTCCATAAATAAACAACAACTCACTGGTTAATGTAGGTCAGAAAAGGTGACTTCCTTAAAAGTGGTCTGATTTTCTGTTGAAACGTTTTAGGAAGTGGGTCTTAGTTTCAGTCTTACTTAAACCATATCAATTCTTAGGAACAATCTGTAAACAAACATTATATACGAACTATCTTTTATTTTTCATTTTTTTTTTTTACAGTGAACTTAACAATAAATTTATAAAGTTCTAACTGCAGTTATTAACTTTTCACTTGGTAATCTGTACATGATGTTTATACAGAAATCATAATTTGACTTACATACAGGCCCATGCACACAAACATACACACACATGCACACAAAATCCAACAACAAAATTCGGAACATATTTTGCTTCTTCCAATTTCTGGCAAGAGGAGAAAAAAAATAAATGGTAAGAGTAAACCAGTATTCACGCTTCCATACCATATCCAACTAATAAAAGAAACAACATTAATAAGAATGAAGAACCAAGAAAAGAAAAAAAAAAAAAAAAGATCTTCCTACTATAAGTGACTAGTGATGATGTAATGTTTGAAAACTGGGAAAGGTTTGAAAATTGGGGAAAAAAAAAAAAAAAGTCTATACATCCACATGAAGGAAAACGTAACCCATCCCACTGGTGATTGTGATTTGGAAAAAAGACAATCAGTTTAGTCAAGCCATACAGGACAGTCATTTACAGTAGTTTGTATATACACATCTTTTAAAGAACGCCCTCTATAGAAACTGGACTGTCCCGATGATAGAGGCCACATCCTGTGAACCTTGAAATCAACTACATAGGTGAATACCGCCATAGATGAAATAAATATAATAACTACACTTCCCTCGGTTTATTTTATATATATATATAATTATGTGCAACCCATTTCAAATACATATATGTCAAACAGAAATAACAAACCCCAGTAGCGAGATGAAAATACTTCAAGGACAAATTCTAGCACAATAAAAGTCCTTGCGTATATATATATATATATATCTTATACAACTTTTTTTTTTTTTTTCTTCTTTTCTTGAAAGTTTACATCTTCTGGACAACATTTATGCTATCCTCCACTAATGCAAGATTACAAAAGAAAAAAAAATATATATCATTACAACCAATAACCACCCAAATCTTAAAAAAAAAGAAATATAAAAAAAAGAAAAGAAAGATAAACGTAAGTTGAAGATTTATCTGAATAGCCAATGTTCAATCAACCTTCAAATCTTCAAGGAAGAGGTGCCGTCTCCCTTGGCCTCAAAACGTCAATTTTGCCTGATGACTTTATTGCACAAAATCATTCGGAATACGACAAACAGGGACTGGATCCCCTCCTTGAGCCCTAGACCAGTCAACCAAAAGCTTGAGCTGGCAGCACACTTAATCAAAATGAGGATGAAGATTGCCAAACTGAATTTCCAGACTCTTCAAATCCACTTGGCTTAGGATTCAGCGTTCCCGCAGCTTTAAACGGCGCAACTGAAGATGGCGTTTACATGGCCAATGGTGGGGGTGGCCTTCTGAAGAGAATAAGCATGGCAATGATGACAGAGAGGACTGCCATGAGGTAGATGTCCCAGTCCGGGCCGAGGAACTCTTCTATGCTGCCCTTGCTCAGCTGCGTCCATTTGAACTGGGGGAGTGGAGAGAAGGTTAGAATTTGTAAGTATTTGATACATTTAATATTTAACATTAAAACATTTTAAAAAATAAATCCTTGTCATTTATTTACTCTTTAAACAAGGACCCATGATATTTTTAGATACCTTGGGGAGGGAGGGAGGGAGGGAGAGAGGGAGAGAGGGAGAGAGGGAGAGAGGGAGAGAGGGAGAGAGGGAGAGAGGGAGAGAGGGAGAGAGGGAGAGAGAGAGAGAGAGAGAGAGAGAGAGAGAGAGAGAGAGAGAGAGAGAGAGAGAGGGAGAGAGGGAGAGAGAGAGGGAGAGAGGGAGAGAGGGAGAGAGGGAGAGAGAGAGAGAGAGAGAGAGAGAGAGAGAGAGAGAGAGAGAGAGAGAGAGAGAGAGAGAGAGAGAACATAAGAGTATGAGAGGGAGGGAGAGGGAGAGAGAGGGAGACAGAGAGAGAAGGGGGGGGAGGGAGAGAGGGAGAGCGGGAGAGAGGGAGAGAGGGAGAAAGAGAGAGAGAGAGAGAGAGAGAGAGAGAGAGAGAGAGAGAGAGAGGGAGGGAGGGAGAGAGAAGGGGAGGAAGGGAGGGAGAGAGAGAGAAGGGGAGGGACGGAGGGAGAGAGAGAGAGAGAAGGGGAGGGAGGGAGGGAGGGAGAGAGAGAGAGAGAGAAAGAGAGAGAAGGGGAGGGAGGGAGGGAGGGAGAGAGAGAGAGAGAGAGAGAGAAGGGGAGGGAGGGAGAGAGAGAGAGAGAGAAAGGGAGGGAGGGAGGGAGAAGGGGAGGGAGGGAGGGAGGGAGGGAGGGAGGGAGGGAGAGAGAGAGAGAAAGGGAGGGAGGGAGAGAGAGAGAGAGAAGGGGAGGGAGGGAGGGAGAGAGAGAGAAGGGGAGGGAGGGAGGGAGGGAGGGAGAGAGGGAGGGAGGGAGGGAGAGAGAGAGAGAGAGGATGGAAGAAATGAGAAAAGAAAAACAAAAAACAAATAAACTTACATCTTCCAAATACTTGAAGGTAAAAAGAAGTGCCAGCTTGGCCAATGCCAGAGCAACAGGCACCTGCGCATCAGCACTTGCTTCTGCAGCCATATCATAGAAACGTTTGGCAAGGTGCATGTCCTGTAAAGAGAAACATGAGGAAATGAACCAATATTTTCAATCAGTATACTATACAGTCAGGATTAGAAACCATGTAAGAGTATTTTATATGACATAGGTAAAGTGAAACACTTACCGTACCATAAGACAACTAGTTCATACCTGTTTCAAACCAAGCCCTTGCTCATGCATGTAGCCCAAGTTAAACATAGCCTGAGCATTGTGCTGTTGCTCTGAAGCCAGCCTGTAGTGGGCAGCGGCTGTCTCATAGTCCACTGATGTTCCATAGCCATAGTAATGATAATCACCCAGTTTCACTCTTGCAACTGCATAGCCCTATAAAATAAAAAAGAACATTGCACACACTGACATTTAAATGAAATACAAATACAAATACACTGATAGGAGCCTTTGATAATGAATAATAGTAAAATAACAGTAATAATAATAATAATAACAATAATATAAAAGTTAAGATATAGCCATATAACCAAAATGAACAATAATATAATAACAGTAATAATAATAATAATAACAATAATATAAAAGCTAAAATTTAGCTCTCATCTTTACAATTCCTTACTCTCACTCACTCCACTTACTTGGGATGCTGCACGGCCCCAGTACATGAGTGCTCTGGCTAAGCTCTCCTCTCTCTTGAAAAGTTCTGTTTCATGTCTATCAAGGAGAAAGGCAGCATTGCTCTGAGCAACCTCATACCCTAGCTCAGCAAGTAACATGTATGTCACAAGCGCTTGTGTGTGTCGAGAATCCCAATACGCTGAATGAGCTTCCATCAGCATCTCTCCCCACTTTCCTCTCTCGGCAACATTTTTGAATAGCTGTAAAGGAGGAGAGGGAAAAAAGAAAAGAAAAGAAGGGTTTAGTTTTACAATGGCATTTTGCTTCACAGATGAAAGTAAAATAGGCCACTTTCTATGCTACTTTTCAGAACTACCGTGGGCTGAGTGAATAATGCGAACCAATATACATATTACTCCCCCTCCACACACACAGATATTTGCATATATTTCAGTGATTTGATTGTTATCCCAAAAATGAAGCCATAATCACTCCACTTACCTCAACGCTAGTGTGGCATGAACGGACCATCCCTGTGCCCGAGGCCTGCATGAGAGCCAGGTTGTAGAAAGCCAAAACATGACCAGACTGGGAGGCTAAGTTGAAGTACTTGATGGCCATCTTGTAGTCCCTCCGCACACCCATTCCACCTGTAATTGCAGGGATATTTCTTTAATATTTAGGGATCCTGGATGACTAAGATAAAATATATATTTTTTTCATTCTTCAAAACCTGCACTGACAACTGAAATTACAAGCAAAAACATTCCATTCAGTGTTTGGGTGGAAAACATCCCACAATACTGTACTCTGACTTACTGAAGTACATGTTGCCCAGTTGTAGCTGGCCGTCGACCCATCCTTGCTCGGCTGCTGATGTGAAGTACTTGAGTGCTAGCTGGTAGTCTTGAGGAACCCCACAACCATGCAGGTACATCAAGCCCAGACCACTCTGACCTACAGCATTATTCTGATCTGCTGCACGCTTGAAGTACTTCAGGGCAGTTTCGTTACTCTGCTTCACGACAGAGCTACCGTCCAGGTACATCTGCAAGTATAAAGTTTGGTCAAAGGCTTTAATATCTAAAGCAAAGTCTGGTATCCTTGAAATAAAATTACAAAAATTCAGTCCTTTTGAAATGAGCACTTGAAACTGTCTACAATCAAACTTACTATTAATGTGGCTCAAGGAACATTGAAGACAAAAGAAAAAACATCAACAGACTTCTTTATTGAGTAAACCATACAAAATGACTCTACCTTGCCAAGAAAGGCCATGGCATTTGCATTGCCTGCCTCTGCAGCTTGTACGAAGTAGTTAAGTGCTCGCTGGTGGTCCTGTTCCACCCCTCGGCCACCTTGGTAATGAAGCTGACCCAAACCCACCTGCAAAGATTCAAGGTTTTCATTAATAAAAATGTATACTCCAATGCTGAATTACAATCAAATTATAAATCACACCACTGTAAACATTTCAGGAATGATTCCCATAGCATTACAAAACATGTTTTCGCAACAGAACATGAAACTCTAAGTACATTTTATGACTATATCTATTAATATAATCACCTATGTTAATAATACAGATATCTAACCTGAGCCTGTACATCTCCTTTCTCAGCAAGGAACTGATAGTATTGAATGAGATCGTCATCCAATGGCGTTGACAGGGATCCTGGGCTGTCGACTTCATCCAACAGACGTACTCTCTGCACTACGCGATTCCTGGTCAAGGAAACCTCGTCTGCAACTGGAAGGCATATTAAGATTACACTATTTAAAAGGGAGGAATATAAATTCTGTAAGTCTATTATAATTCTTTTTTTTCTGATTAGTGGTAGTAACTCATTCCCGTTGCATGTGTGTGTCCACAGTAACATTATCTTGAGGATATTGTTTACACATAGATGGCTTCACAAGTAACTTGAGTCACCTCATCTTATTTTGTCCCCCTCCCATCTGATACCATTATTATTGTTACAATTATCATTATCATTATTTTTTTTGTGTGTGATTATCATTATTCTACAATTGTTAACAATACTACTACTAAAAAAAGTAAAATCAAAGGTTTTCTAAAAATCAAGAAAAAGGGTAAACAGGGGAAATTAGGTAGGACTACTAATTGAGTCCTTAGTAACTGAGCAATTTTGTGGAACTATCTATGTGCACAAAATCACAAAAGAAGAAGAAGAAGAAAAAATTAACAGAGGCTTACCTGTATGTGAAACCTTCCTGTAATAGGTAAGGGCTGTCTCGCAGTTTGAAGCTACACTAATGCCTGACCAGTATCTGTAGGCCAAGGCCATCTGTGCCCATTGGCTGCCACCCAGTGCACCAAATGTGTAATACACAAGTGCTTTTGCCTGGCTTGAATTTTTCCCAATTCCTGTGGCATACATGAAGCCCAATCCCTAGGGAAGGGAAGAAAGAATTACATTGTCAAATATACCAAATACAAGTGTTAACTAGGAGAGAAAATGAATTGGTCAGCAATATTTTGTATCATTCGTTTATTTGTATTCCCAAATCTTTCTCTAACATTTAATATAAAGGCTACAAGCAGAACACTTGTGGCTGACAAATAATAATAACAGGGAAAGGAAACATATGTAAAAGTAAACACTGGAACTAATACATAACTGATACAATTAGGATATAAATTTCATAAATCAAATTAGTCTGCATAAGCCATACAAACCCATATTCTACACTGACAATGAAATGTCCAAATTCATGCTCCATAAATTGATGCCAAACATTTCTACGTAACTCTTTGTAATGGGCCAAGGAACCTTATAACCTACCATTTGAGCATCAGCATTGCCTTGCATGGCTAAGCTCTCAAAGATTTCTACGGCTTGCGTGATGTTCTGCTTGAGGTGCTTCCCCAGCAGGCGTGCCCAGGCCACCTTCTGCAGAGCCTCTGTGTGCCCCAACTCTGCTGCCGACTGCAAGAATGTGTAGGCATGCTTCTCATCCTGCTTTGTCTGGTTCAAGATGGCCATGGCCGCATCGTACAACTCGTTCGCTGGAGGAAAAGAGCAAAGGACATTTACCTAACTATATCAGTTTACTTATTTTTTGTAAAATAAAAGCAAGAATTTGAAGGGATAGTGATTCTTATAAAATTATGCCATATTATTCAATGATACCAGTAAGATTTTGTATTAACATCCACAAAGACACAATTTGCATATTCAGTCCTAGGGATGTCAATCATTGATGAGGTGTCAAAACCTCGTAGGTTGTTTTTTTGTGTGTAATTTTTTGAGGATTGTAGTGCCTAGCAAGTGTAAATCCGATACTGTAGCAGCTTCCCTGTTGTCACCTCTGCCATCAAATTCTATCCCCCTCCCCCAGTTAAAAAAGTAAACAACACTTGTCTACACAAGCAGAACTGCATTGCACTCCAAAACTCAAAATATGATGTTTTTAATCTACATAGTAAGATGTACTAATTACCACTACCACTGGGAAAATGAACCCATGATGATGATGATGATGATGGAAATGTTTTTATTTAAATTTTGCACAAGATAGAGAAAAAGATAGAAAGACGGTAATAAAGACAGACACTGAGAATTAGAATGAGAAAATTAGTGAGAAAGAAATATCAACTGAACGGATTAGAACAATACACGAATGGCCATAATGATGATAATAATAAGAAGAAAATGGAAGAAGAAAAGTTAATAGCCAACATTCTCACCTCTGATTTCCTTTGGCGTCAATGGCTTTTTGGGTTCCTTGTCATCTGTGGTCTCTCCGTCCTTCTCCTCCGCACCCTCTTCTCTGCTGGCACCATCTCCTTCTTCGTTTAGTGTCTCAGTCGATTCTGGGTTCTTTTCGACTTCAACCTGTTCCTGGTCATCAGCACTGATTAGCTGGAAAAGTGCAACAAGAGAATGCCTGAGATTTGAGAATCAAGAGAGTATGAGATAAGAAAGGGTAATGGGGAAAAATATTACAAAAGATAAAACTGTATTTTGTAGCTTTATACACTAACACAGTAAACAGCCGGAGATTTTAAGGCACTGAATCCATTCTACCCAGCTCTCTGAATAATCAGTATGCATTTTCTATCCTTTATGGAATTTAACATGAAAGGTTATGGTTAACTGGGAATGTGTGGAGGCAGAAGGAAGGAGTCAAAGAGGAGGGAAGGTGAGAAAGGAGCAACTTTGAAATCTTAAAACTTACCGTTGTTGGTGTTGTTTCTGCGGACACCAGCACTACACAAGCAAGGGTCACCAGGAGGACCACCCACCATGCCTTCAGTCGCGTCATCTTAAGGTGCTCTGTTGGAAGAAAAGGTACTTTGCCAGCCCTCATTATTAATAACACAAAAGTCACTACACCAGTGAAATCAGAAATTTGATGAGCACATAGAGTTTCCAGTATAGGATTTGAGGTTTTATCTTGCTGTTTACACTTCTATAATGCTTATGATGCATAGATTTCACCTCACATGCAAGTCTACCAAGGAGTCTATTAGTAGACCCCTCTTTCCATGTGCTTTTTTTTCAGAAGCAATTAATACTGGCAATGTTTTATCATTAATAACATTATAATTACAGTGTTATTAACAATACAAATAATTATATATATATATATATATATATATATATATATATATATATATATATATATATATATATATACACACACATATATAAATTCCAAAAAGGAAAGGAAAAGGGTAAACAGAAGGGATAGGTAAGACTAGCAATTGACTCCTTGCTGACTAAGCACTTGTGGAGCCATCTGTGGGCATGACAAAATTGTAAATGCCATTCACAGTGGCAATGGATTAGTAACAACAGAGGCATAATATCCAGGGTACTGGCCTATCTAACTTTTCCTTGTTATGAAAACAAGACACTAGGTAGAAAGAAAGAAAATGAGATTAAATCCTCTATAAAGAAATACACACATTCAAAGAAACAGTCCTACCTCTTTCAAAAAAGGGATATTACAGATGGGGAGAATAAGTGTTACCATCCCTCCATGCTGCTCTGGTCGAAACTCTTGCTTGTGACAACGCGATCTGGAACAAGCGATCTCACTTTTACATGTGAAGGTAATACATCAAGAAAATAACTGAAGGAATAAGTAAAATAATTATGGAGAGTAGAGAGGCATGAATAAAAATGAAAGTGAAAATTAATCTCACAATGTAAGATGTATAATTCCTTTTCAGGGACATGTTTTTTTCAAATTTGTATTTTTTGAAGGCATATCATAACCATGGATATGACTATATATAGTACATGCAATCAATAGATTCTTTAAGATTTTGACACTTTATCATGTACAGCACCAACTGGAAATGAAAAGAGTTATCTAATATATAAACCTACTCTGTCACCCAATAATAAACTTTAGACTGTAATTCTATTTGGGGAAAGAGTGCCACAATCTGGCAAAAGAACAATACTTGGGCATTCAATCCAGCCACTGACAACAACCAAGCAAATTAACCGTACGTCAACAAAACAGTCATAAGCTGAGACATATTGCAGTTCTTATGTAAACATCACCAAGTGGTACTGCATCAACTGTGGCTAGAGATGCATCAACTGTGGCTAGAGATTCATCAACAACTAAAGAATCAGTCCAAGTTCTATCCTATCAGAATATTTTAGGTGAAGCCATACACAGCTGCCTGTACTTACACCTGATACACCTATTTGCTTAGGGCAGAAGAAATAGCAACTCTGTGATTGCTTATTCTTGTACTAGACCTACACTTTGAAGGGACTAGAGAAAACCTCATTTAATGCATTAGTTACCATGTGTGGAATTTTAGTTTTATTCATGAATGTTGTTACAGTAATCACACAATACTAAACACACCAACACAGGTTATGGATGACAGAGTATATATAGGCAGGTTGTGGGGTACGTCAATAGCACAGGGGAGGATGCACATTGTACCTGAGGTTAACAGGATGTGTCTAGCGAAGACGTGTGTATGAAATTCTATTCTGACCCGAGTTGTACCAATGAAAGAGTTACAAAGTCTTCAGATTGTTATGGTTTTATTTTTGACTGAAAACCTTTCAGGCCAAAGAAGCACTTACAGACAAATGTGACTGTGTGTGTGTACCCTGAGCACAGTTGAATTTTTGTTAAGACTAACAACCATCAAACTCTTGTTGAATATTCTTTTGCCTGGTCCCAGATGTATGTGTGCATATAAGTGTGTACAAAATATATAGCGTATCAATATATAAGAATTTTATAACAATCTTATTTCTCTAAATATTATATGCCAAATCCTTTTTACTCATTTCTAATTACATCATGACATTTACTGGAATGTCATACAGCTGTCCTCACCTTCCATAACAGCCTCAGGCACAGTCTTCCTCCCCAGATAACCTATACATGACCTACAAATTGGATAAAAATACTATGCTAATTATAACTATTGTTGTGATATTTAGTTATCTCACAGTTATATCTGTACAAAAACATTAAAAGCCTTCATGAATAAGGCCAAAATTTCATACATGGTGAACTAATGTTTATAATGAGGTTTGTTCCAATCCATTTAAACTGCAGTAAGAGAATGTAAACAATCACAGAGTTGCTGCTTCTACTGTCCATTAAAAAAGGTGTATCTGTATAATTACAGGCAACTACTTAAAATATGACTTCTCTCTCTAATTGACATCAAAATAAACAAAATAATATTTATATATCTTGTCTGAAAATGTACCTTCAAATTTCAGCATAATGAATTCTGTTCATTTTTAGATAGGTCTAAAAATACTCACAATATGCATGACAACTTCATGTATTGTTTGTTGATGTTTGGTAAAAAAAGAAAAAGAAAAAAAGAAGAGAAGTAGAAAAAGATCAAATGAAATTTCTCAGAAAATCAAAAAAACTATGTTTCCTGAGGTTTATAATGTTTCTTGGATCTTTAAATCTTTCTCAAGTACAAAGTAATGTACAAAAATCCTCTATGCATTTCAGGCTCTCCCAAGATACCAAATACCAACTGCAAAGTTCATGTTGCTAAAATAGGAAACACAAAAACAAGAACTAAACCATATTCATGCTTCCACTGAATCAAGTTTAATAAAAAACTATTTTTATATGTGGTAATATACAGCTTGATCTTATTATATAGCTTGAAAAACAAACAAATACTGTTACTGAGGTATTTTTCACTCTTAATTTCAGAATTAGCTTAAATGACTTCTTTCTACAATTAAGACTCTTTCAGGCTTGACATAAAGTAGGTCTTTGAAATACTATTTCTGAATACCTTATCTCCTAACCCATATAACTGCAATACTTTCGAAATGTAAATGAAAGCGAATGTAACCCCAAAGGTCCAAGTTTCTAATCATTACCAAAATCAAATTTACAGTCAGGAAATAAAGCTTATAATTATCCATTACTAATAAATTAAATACTTCATCCTCCTTCTCCTATTCTTGTAATTAATCTCAAAATTCTCTCCGTCTTGCAAATGAAATCTTAAAGTCCCAAACGGCCTTTAAATCCGCAAAGATTAATTTATATTTCTCATCGTTGACAGAATACGGACTTTAAAAATTTCATGATTAAATGTAACCCTTTATAGATTTAGGACAATATGTGAAATAAAGCAACAGTTGGTATTCATTTGCATTCATCCATTGCATAAAACGAAAGAATAAAATAAAGAGGAAGAAGAAATAAATAGAAAAAAAAACACAAGATACACGCAAGATCATTAACAGGTGAAAAAAGAGAGAACATTCCTCTATAAAAACGCAAACTTTTCTCATTTCACCACAAAACCCACCAGAAAACACGAACAATGAAACACCTAAGTACTTAATACTCAGTTAATTAACACCTAAGTAATTAATACTCAGTTAATGAACACTCAGTTAACACTTCCATCCATATGTTCCTTCTTCCGGAACGACTATTGAACAGAACGCCACATCTAACATCAGACAGACACCCGTACATCCAACTCTTACCAAGAAAAATGACAAAGATCACATAAAAATCACATAAATTCACATAATCGGGTTCGTTGTCTCTCCTTCGGCCACGTAATGTTTTCCTTCTGGTTAGCGGATGTCAAAAAGGTAACCGGGGCGCTTTTCCGCTCGATGTTAGCGGTCTTTGCTACTTTTGTGGGGTATGGCGTTATTCGTGGTTATTATATGTGTTTGTGGGTATGGCATTATTCATGGTTAATTATTTGTGTTGTTTTTGTTTGGGGGTATTTTTATCTCGGGGTTATGATGTGATGGTATTTTTATGTCCGATGGTTTATGGATTTCGAGAAGTATTTTGGGGGCGCTTTTCCGCTTGGTGTTAGCATTGTTTTGCTCTATTCGTGGGATTTAAGTATATTTCAGGGTATTATTTGGTGTAGTGTGGTATTTTACGCTATTTATTAATTTTGTGGTATTTTTTTAATGTGTCGTTTGTTGCATCTCTTAAGGTGTCGCGGTACTTATACGCTCAAGTATTTTAGCGGGATTTGCTATGTTCGTGGGATTTGCGTATTTTAGGGTTTTTATTTGCGGTGTCGTGGTAATTTGTGTTGGTGTTTGATTTCAAGATATTCTTCCTGTTTTTTTTAAGCCTTCCAATTTCGGCGAGGTTGACGGAGGGAGTCAATAAAGAAGTAGCTCTTCTTGGTATTGATGAAAAGTGACATTTCATTATTCCTCTGATTGGCAAATCATCGATCAGCTCCGTAGGTGTATATAGCTCATCCGCACTATTTGCAGAAGAAGTGTTTAGGAGACATAAATCATCATCTCATCTGTCATCTCGAAAGCGATTTTTTTTCCCCTTCAAATCAGGCCGAACGCAACTCCCCCTAAAAAGAGAAGAAAAAAAAAGATTCCACGAAAACGTCCCGGCTTGGTCTCAACCCACCAATCACAACCTCGCTTGCTTCCCGCTCAGCCAATCGGAACCCTCCTCCTTCCCCCCCCAACGTTCTCCAACCAATGAGAACCGAGATCCTACCCCCGACGCGCCCCGACCAATGAGAACCGAGATCTTCCCCCCCAACGCTCGCCAACCAATGAGAACCGAGATCCCCCCCCACACGCTCTCCAACCAATGAGAACCGAGATCCCCCGTCCAAGCGCCTCCGAGCCGGGCCAGCCAGCCAATGGGCGCGCGGCATTCAAACCCCACGCCGCCCTGCCCGCCCGACGCCATCATTCCGCTCGTGGCTGGCGGTCGCGTCGGAGAAAGGCTCACTTCCACCTAGAATTTTGAAGCGCAGGGACGCCGCCGGCACCGCGAGACGCCATGAGTGACCTCCTCGACCCGAGTAAGCTGAAGGTGACGGAGCTGCGCGCCGAACTGCAGGCGAGGGGCCTCTCCACCAAGGGAAACAAGCCGGTGCTCATCGAGAGGCTGCGGGAGGCGCTCGAGGCCCAAGGTGGGTGCGGGGGGACGCTTTCCCTCCATTTTTCGCCCTTTTTCTCCGTTTTTCTCCATTTTTCTCCTCTTTTCCCGCTCTTTCTCGGATCCCCGTCACGCGGCCCGGCTCCGTCGGTCCTGGGTCATGGCGCCCTTGGGGATATCCCCTTCTTGGAGGAATTTAAGGGAAGAGAAGGAGAGGTTTGGATTTTGACAGCGAAATGGAGGAGAATTTCGTATTCTTTTTTCTTTTTTTTTTCTTGTCTGGCAATGGCGGGAACCCGAGCCTCTCGCTTTCCTCCTCTCTCTCTCTCTTTCTCGCTGATAAATCCACTTCCTTTTTATCTTTCTTGTTCTTATTTCTAGTTCTTTCTTGTTATATCGAACGAACGGGTTTCCATAAATTTTCGTGATATTTTTTTTTTTTAAGACGGACGTTTTTTTTTCTTCGTAAACATTTGAAGGATGTGATTTGGCGCGTTTCTAGAGAGGGGGGGGAGGGAGGAAGAGGATATGGGGGGGTGACGGGAAACGGCATTTAATGTCAATTGGTTGATTTATTTCGCCGTAATTTTGGCTGTTTTTGGCTGTTTTCTTCATAATTTTGGTGTTTGGCTTTTTTTTTTGTGGTCCTTTAGGCGGAGTTTGTTTCTCGTAGGATTGGAATTTGTAGGATTGATAGTTTTATTTGAAAAGGTTCTTGGTTTTTGTTAATTTCCATTAATATCGTTAATTTCTTTATTATTTGTTTGGAAAGCAAGGTATTTGGGACTTTGTGGTGGTAGGATTGTGTTGATATATCTGGTATTTTTAATTTTTTTGGCATTTCATGGGGCTGATAGTTGTTTTTGAGGTTTTCTCTTGGATGAACAGTATACTCTGTACCCCAGAGCTGTGGGAAACTAAAACTAGACAATATACCGAATTGTGGAGGAATCGAGCATTCATCTAGGCTTCTGCACCCACGGTGGTTCGGCAAAGGTTAACATAGGTCTGTCGTGCATTTGCTGGCGAGGGAGAGCCTTGGACCTGTTCAGGGACAACAGAAATGTTACTTTGAGTTGATGCAAATGCTTTAGGCCTTACCTGCGCCAAGGTTGAGTCAGTGGAAGCCGTCATTTGGATAGGCAGGGCGAAATGTAACGTGACAGTTTGTCGGGTGTAGGAGATAGGCGTCTTTATTTGTCAGTTGACTGGAATGTCGAGTGAAAAGTCAGGAATAGTTAATCTCTCAATTATGTAGAATGTTACCATTTGGAGAGCAGAATTAAAGCTAATTTCTCAGATATCGAATGCTAAATGTTTTAGTTCTGGTAAATATTGAAAGTATATTTGGTTTTTGGGTCTCAGACAATATTTATCAGATTTAGTGTCATGTAATGAGAAGGAATCTGATTTCTGTCACAAACTTGGCTGACCATCTGAATCTTGTAATCCAGATAGCAGGGGAAAAGCATGAAGTATATCTGGGTAATTATGAGGGGAATTGGGTAAAAATTTAATGATAAAGAAAAAGATCTATAATACTTCACAATACCCTAGATTTAATTGTTGAAATGCATTACAAGTATAATAGTTTGGAATGCATTTGAAAATTGCATATATTTGGAAGAGTAGGTGTTGATGATAATGATGAAGTAATTGTTTTCAAGAACGTATTACTACAAGAACTACTTGACAGATTGCATTGATTTGTGGTTAGTAGTATTTATCCTTGTGATTTGTGCAGGATATGATGAAATGTCTGTTATCAGCAAAGTAAAATCATTCCATACTCTTTAGGGTGAAGACCAGATTGACATCTACCAAAACTATGTCCTGGGATTTAATTTTTTATGGATAAGATGTTCAGCATTTAAAAAATGGTACTATATCCAATTACATTTGGCTCGTGGGAATCTATTTTGTACAAATATTTATTGAAAGCTTTTTTAAGATTGTATGAATGGGTCTTAAAAATGTATTGAGTACAGATAGGTTCCTTATATTTAATTAGTTATTCTGTATAATAACAACCACAAGGCCAATATTGATCTCAATGGAGGGGGAGGGGCATAGATTATAATGCTATAGCTATTCTAAAATAGGTGTGATCATATTTTCATAACAGGTGGTAGCTGTCTGACCACTTGCAGTAGCTATGGCTTCATTACCCTTTGGTGCTTTGGCAAAAGCCAACAAACCACATTTTATATTCTAGTTGGATTGTCCTAGTTCAGCTAGGGTTGGTTCCCTATTTGAAATAATGTCCAAGTGGATAAAAAAAACAACAAAAAAAACACACAGCCTTGAATGTTTGTTTTGGAGTATTGAGAGTGCAAGAGTCCAGACAGATTTGGAAGTTGTATTAGTTCACTACCACTAGTGTTATTACTATATTTGGTCAGCCTTGACTTTACTAACTTGGATATATGAAATTTCAGTACTCATTATGAGAAGTTTGCTGGTACTAGTATTAGTATCCATCCAATACTTGGTAACTTTGCTGTTATGCGATTGCCTGTTTGTTGAGAATGTTGATTATCCTAAGTTTTATATATTTTATATGCACTACTTTATTGAAGATGGAAATTGTATATGCAAATCAGTCTTTCATTCTAATTTATGATTATCAATAATTGTCACAAATCTTTTGATAAACAATGAATAATTATTATTGGTAATGATTATCAGTAATTATATTCTTTAGTCCCATGACCTTTGTTTTTCTTCTACAATATGCAATTGTTTTCTTCATAATTTGTAATACATTAGTTCATAAAATACTTTAGAACCATGATTCTTTGATAACCCTGGATGGATATTAACCCCTTCCTGAAGGGTCACGCCGTGAGGTGTCAAAACAAACCACTCAATCTGTGGTGTGTGGCTGTATGCTGCAGTGGTGTGCCATAGTGCAATGAGCCGGTGATTCGGCTTGATGTACCAAACTCCTGCGCTCAAAGTCGGCACGTTGTCATTGATCTTCAGAGTGTAGTTTGTTTTGTCTAGTTTTCTTCACCCTTCATCAAAGGGTTAAGATTAGTTATATTTTGAGCAAAACATAAGATGGGTTGATGACTCTAACAGAACCTTAACATTAATCTATGCTGTTTTGGCAATTTAAGAAATGATTTGTGATAATGAATAGCTATGTTTAGTCTTGTCATAGGCTGCCTAGTGAAATAAAATTGTTTGGTTAAAGTTTAGAGATCATTTTACGCCATATTTAAAAAATGTACATCTGTATCTTCTGCATAAATGTAGAAAAAAAAGTGCACTCCAATATTATGCCTATATTAAGTATTTAAATATAACTATAAATAGAGGAGTGCCTGACTATGACCTTTCTAACACAATGAATGAATACCTGTTGTTATTGTACTAGATAACCTTCTTGATTGCTTACATTTTTCATCCACTGATAGATGCTTGGCTTTAGTAAGAGTTAAGATAAAATTTAAATTTGTCATTTTTGGTTCTCATCCTGGAGTACAAGCATTAGTTATACTATTGCAGTTAATAAGTTATATATTACTGTTATTGTCATTAATTTTTAAGATTTAGGTTTTGAGAGTAAAAACAAATTAGGCTGCAATTTGTGTTAGGTATCTTTGTATTGTATTTAAAAAAATGTTTTGTATGTTGCACAAGCTACTTTATGTAATGATACAATATGACATTCCATATTTGGAGAGGTATAAAGGCTTGGATAAA